CCCGCGGCCCCCTGCCGCTCCGCCCGCGCGAGGGTCTGCCTTTGGAAAAGGGAAGGAGACACAGGCAGGTGCATCTCAAGGACAGCCCCAAAATGGAATTGACGAATGAATTTATTTTGGTTAAAACAAAACAAAAAAAAGACCCGAGGCCTCTGGGGACCGTTGACTTTGGCGGTATCGAGAGGAGTGAAATGATGGATATAAAGCCTTTAAGATTTCTGGCTGCCCCAGGAAGACCCGTTCGAGTAGTACTGGCCAGCTAAGTCCGGCTGCGCCGCCTCCCAATCCCGTGGGAGGCAGAGGCTGGAGAAGGGAGTTGGTGTCTGACCGCTGCAGCCGGAGGCAGAGCCCAGAGCCGGTCCGCAAGCACCTGCAGGCTGCCTGAGCGCAGCGCGTTCTCGGCATTTAAGGTGGAGACGCTGGAGCAGTCGTTCCTCACTAAAGGCGCCCATCGTCGCCCAGGAACTGCTCTTACTCCTGCGGACTTCACATCCCCGCTGACTCAGCACTCCGCCAGTGTTCTCCTTAGAGGCCCTTCTGAATTCAAAGGCAGGGCTTGGTAGGAGCCCCAGACCAGGTGGAGGCAACTGGACATGTGGACCTGGGAGGGGGCTGGGAGAGCAAGGAGCCGGCGCAGGGCAGAAAGCCAGGCCAGGGAGGCCACAGCTCGGACCAGCAGCAAAGTAGGGCCCAGGAGAAGCCGGCACCAGGAGCTACGACCCACGTGTTAAAAATACAGGCATTCCTTTCTCCAGTTTGTTTCTCCCATGAAAGAGCACCCCCAACAGTCTTGACACCACCCTCCCACCCCACCCCACCCCAGAATCAGCCCTGTTATGGGCACACACGCCTGGTGTGCTCAGGAAGCTCAAGCCGGAGCCAGGGGCAGCCTTGAGACTGCACCCCTCCAGCATCTGTGGCCCTCACCTTGAAATGTACCAAGTGCTGTTTCCTTTTTTTTGGAGATGTTTTTGCTATAGGGTACATGTGCTTGCCAGAAAGAGACAGAGAGTGAGAAAACACTCTTGAGGGGGCGTGGCCACGCCACAATCTCCTCTCCTCCGGATCTTGGGCACACACACATGCCCGGCGTGAATTTTAAGCCATTGGGTCTGGGACTTGAACTGCAAGACTACATGGGAGTCCAGTGGCATAGCCATTACCCCAACTGCTGGTCCCTGTTTTCTTCTTTTTCATTCATTTTTTTTTTTAAAGAATTGTTTTATTGAACTTTATTTATTTATTTTAATTTGTCCCCCCCAAAAAGGGACAGAGTGAGAGAGGGAAAGTGAGAAAGCAAGCCACCAGGTCCAGGACCTGAACTGTGGAGTCCAGCGTTCCTAACCACCACACCATCTGCCAGCCCCATTTTCCTTCTTTCAATGGCCTGTGTAACTCACCCACTGCTACCATGTGGGCCTTGAACTGCAGCTTGAAAACCACTACAAAGGCAAGTACCTTTGAGCCAGGCCACACAACGCTTGGCTCAAAGTCTGGCTTGTGTCTTTATAATTTTTTTTTTTGGAGAGATTTTTGCTATTAGGGTGTGTGTGCTCACTGGGGAGACAAAAAGCAAGAAACCACCCTGGCGGGGTGGGCAGGTGGATGGTCATGTTGCAACCCCTTCTCCCTTCTCTCAAGATTTTGGGCACTGGGACCAGCAGATAGCATAATGATTATGTCACTGGACTCTCACACGTTAACCGAGGTTTGAGTCTCAGACCCGGAGGCTTAAAACTCAAACCAGGTGTATGTGCATATGTGTGTGTGTCCCAAATCCCAAAGGATAATGGAGGAGTGGGGACTGTGGCATGGCCATCCCCCTTGAGGGGTGATTTCTTGCTTTCTGTGTCTGTCTCTCAGGTGAGCACACACGCCCTATAGCAAAAATCTCTAAAGGTTTTGGGCACATATGCAACACACACCCAGTGCGAGTTTCAAGCCATTGGACGTAGGGTATGAACCATGATCAGCCGTGGGAGTCCAACACCTTAACCACTACACCCCCTGCTGGCCCCTTCCTGCCAGTGTCTTAAAAGGCAAACCGTGGATATAAACGTTTAAACCTGGACAATTACTAAAGCAAGTAGTTTTCATAAGAACAAGAACTTTTTTTTTTTTTTAGGAGAGACAGAGAGTGAAAGGGAGAAACAGCCCCATCCCTCTCACCAGGTGGATGGCCGTGCCACAATTCCTCCTCCTCCATCCTCTCAATATTTTGGGAATGCATCCATACATGCCTGGCATGATAGTCAAGCTGCCAGGTCTGAAGCTCAAACCAGCCAGCCATGTGGGAGTCCAGTGCCTTAACCACCACGCCACCTGCTGGCCTCCCCAGGCCAGGAACTTTTAAAAACACAAGAGGCTTCAGGCAAACAGGCCTTCTTGCGCTCTCGGCATCGTTTCTGCCTGGCCCTGCTGGGAACACAGTGGAGAGGCTGCCCCCGACAGATGCCATGAGGGTCTGTTGGCAGACACAGCCACACAGCCACCTGTAGTGTAGAGAGAAAATTCCTTGTCACCCTGAGTCCTTGCCACCCTGTACCCCCATCTCCCAGAACAACCTCTGCTAGAGGGTGAGACACAGACTCCCATCAGATCCCTGGGGGCCAGTAACAGTGGTCCCAGGCCTGGTACCCAGTATATATGGTAGTGACCTGGGGTCTTCACTATTTGTACTCACACTGAATTTTGAAAGTCACTTTTTAAAAAATAATTATTTTATTTAACTTTATTTATTTAGACAAGAAAGGGACAGAGTGAGAGTGAGAGCAAGAGAGAGAGAGGCAAAGTGAGAAGTAAGCAAGCTGCCAGGTCTGGGACTCGAACTGTGGCCGGTCATGTCTTAACTACCACGCCACCTGCCAGTCCCAAAAATCACTTTTATAGAAGCGTAAAGTCTGGGTGATATAAATTTTGCGTGCTTATTACAGTGGTAAAAAGAGCTATGCATGTATGAAAGTCAAGATAAGCCTACAAATCAAGATATGCTTTAAGACACTTTATTTCACTCTTTAAATCTAGAATATTTAGTTATATTTATTCATATAAACTTAAACTTTAAAAATACCCAGTTGCTATTTTACATTCAGCCCAGGGTCTGGGCAGGAAGGAGGGATGGAGGCCCGAGACTCGGCCATCCGCACCGAAAGCTCTCAGGCCCCCTTCCAGACAAAGTATATCATGCTTTCCCCTTTTCCAGATAAAATGTCTCCACAGATTTGTTTCTCTGGGTCGAAGACCACTTTAGGACTGACTGACAGAGCAGAAGACGAGGGACGTCTTTACACTCAGAACTTGAGAAGTGGTGAGTCCACGTTTTCCTTGTCGGCCGCAGGACTGAGCTGGATCAGGGGAGAGCCCAGGTCTATCAGCTGGAAGAGAGCAGAGGGGCCATGTGGGTGGGACCAGGGCCCGGCCCAGCGCATGACCACAGTGAAGACCACGGCGTCCCGGGAGCCCCCTCCACCTGGACTGGGTGCCACACAGCAGCCCCTGAACTGCGGTCAGTACAGTTAAAAGAAAGTTCCCCTGTTGCGTCTGCAAAGGTGGAAGGAGAAAAAGGCCCCTTGAAGGATACGGCCCCTCAGGTGCACTCGCTCCTTGCACCTCAGGGCCTGGGGGGCTGCGGGGCTGAGGGGCTGCAGATGCGGCCAGTCCCTGCTCCCCCCAGAGCTCACGGCACCAGGATGGGATGGCTCGCAGCAGGGGTGACCGGAGCAGCCTTCCACCAAGGGCGAGTTGTGCAGCCCTCAGAGGGCTCCATGGCCATCGTCAGGGTCCTGGTGAGGTGCCCTGGGGGAAGAAGCAGCCCCAGGACCAAGAGCACCGAGGCCGCACAGCACGAACCCACGCGCCTCTTACCTGTCCCGGCACCCGTAAAGGCTTCAAGGCAGCACCTGTGCCTGTGTCTGGGGTGTTGACCAAGAGGTCGATCAGAGGCCTGTTCTCAGAACCCTGTGGCCCGGTTGCCTCTGGAGTGTTACCAAAGTCGATGAGGGGCAGGTCGGTGAGGGGCTGGCTCTCAGCTTTGGGGGTGATGCTCAGCTGGTCCAGCCTGAGGTCTATGAGAAGACCCTGGAGAGCAACAGGAGCCACAGAGCAGTCAGCAGCCCCGTCGGCCAGCTTGCGGAGGCCCACTCTGCCCCAGTGCGGAGGGCTGGCCCCTGTGCTGCCGTGTTCCTCCCAGGCCACTCCCCCACCCACCTATGGCCGGAGCATTCGCTCCTCCAGGTGCTTCCCAGGGGGCAGCTGGACCCAGGGACCTTGGCCCAGGTTCCACAGGGGCAGCGTCCAGAGCACAAACGCACCTCAGGGGGCCTCCCTTCACCAGGCTTGGCTTCCTCCAGACCTGCTTCCATGGAGCGGCTCTTTGAAGTACAATCACTTTTGTCTGGGGAAAAGTTAAGTGCCTGAGGCACCGTGGACGGAGGAGAGATGCTCCTGGTCGGGGACAGGGCTGCCTGCCCAGAGCCGACCTCCCTGTCGCGCTCCCTTGCTTCCACTCTGCGGGAGGAAGAGGGCAGCTCTTACAAGGCACTTCTCTGAAACGCACACTCACGCAGCCACGGTCTGGGCAGCCAACCATCCGGAGGGAGATCCTGTGGCAGACAACGTCCAGCCCAGGGCTGCCCACCAGCTGGTGGCCTCTATAAAGGAGCGCAGGAGTGGAGCCCGGCGTCACCGTGTGCCCACTGTACCCTTTCCTGACTCCAGGCCAATAAACGTAATTGGCAAAGAGCTGCCTCCCTCCCCTAGGCCCAGGCCTGCCAGCCCCCACCTGCCTCCCCTGTCGGACCTGCTGATCCTCTGCCCCCAGGCCTCAGATACACGCCCACTCTGAATCAACCTACGCACAAAGCCCAGGAAGGTAGCAGTATCCTAAATCGACGCAGAACACCTTCCTTCCACTGTTTGACAGGTTCCCTAACAATCTGAAAATAATTATTTTTCTGTATTTACAATGCCAATCATACACAACCCTAAACCTATTATATGCTAAGAGGTTTTTGCCATAGGGCGCGTGCGCTCGCCAGACAGACAGAGAGACAGAAAGTGAGAAATTACCACCCCGGGGGGATAGTCACTCTGCGAACCGCGGTCGACTATGTGGGAGTCCAGCGAGATAGCCATTACGCTAACTCCTGGTTCCTATGCTGAGAGTTTTTGAGGGACGAAGGCTGGGCAGGTAGAGAGGCAGGAACCCTCCCCAGGGTCTACTCTCACACCACAGCTCCCTCCACGCCTCTCAACCAGGCAGGGTCAGAGTGTGTGCGCCTGCTATGCACCATCCCCCAGGAACCAAACCCAATCTTCCATCTGGCTTCCACACTGTGCCCACACCACCACAGCGAGCTCAGGCCTTTCCAACAGGACCGTGCCAGGTGGCAATCCGTCTTGCCCCAGCCCCCGCCTGCTAGGACCACAGGGTCGCGTCGCTGTGCTAGTCCATTCAGGCAGGGCCAGGAGCTGAGCCAGGCCTGCCACGGGGCCTCAGCCCCAGCACGTGGCACCTCCTGCTTGTGCCACCGGGGTGTCTTTTTTAATGTTTTTATTTCTTCCATGATAAAGGAAGAGACAGAAAGACACCGCACCAGAGTCCTCGTGCCACGGTCCCGCCATCATGCTGGCTGCCCAGTCACAGCACACGGTGTGCATGCCCCACCTGGACCAGAGACCCTCGGGCACACACCAGGACCGCCGTGTGGCCTCAGCACTGGGGAGCGCTGTGTCCTTATCGTGTCACCACGGCTGGCTGCAGCAGGGCCCCCCGCTGTCTCTCTGTCTCCTGCCTTTCTGGAGAGCGCACACACCCTATAGCAAAAACGTCTCCCCCCCCAAAATAATTAATTAATTAAAAATAAAGAAATATTACATGCATATGTGTGTGTCTGGGTGAGGGCTCTCAAAAATTCCATGGAAAATGAGGGAAAAAAACTACATGGATTTCAAAAAAATGTCTTGAACCAAAATAAACTCGCACCAGCTTGTATCCGAACAGGATCGACATGTCGCTAGTTCGAGGCCTGAAGGCAAGTCTGGAGAGAGCACCGTGAATTCCGCTAACGGAGGAGAACAGACATCGTGTTTGCAGGACGCCGGTGTGTGGGGACCGTGCGCTCTGCCCGTTTCTGAGCACGGTGCCCCAAGAAGTCAGATTAGAAAGGAGAGCTCATTTCAAGGGAGGAGACAACGTTGAATTTGGCTCCTGCAACCAGACCATCCGCATGAGTCCATGACAGAACCACCCTCTGGCTCGTGCCCTTGCGGAAGAGGACCGGCACAGACAGCAGAAGCCGCACTCAGCCCGGGGGCAGTGAGGGCTGCCAGAGCACGCCAGAGCAGCTGCACACGGGACAGCGTGTTTCCGTGGTGACAGAGCACACATGTGCACACATGGGTGGGGGGGAGGTGAAAACCCTCCACAGGTCTGGTCATGCCCATCGGGTCCTGGGCACTTGTGCCCGTGCCTGGTGAGCTGTCAGCTGAAGGTCAGGGACTAAAGGCGGGTACCACGTGGGGGGCCCAGGCAGCGCACTGCTGCTGTGCCATGAGGCCGGCCCAGGAGCGGGGCTGTCGGTGGCCGATTTAAGTAAGAAGGAACAAGATCCAGGAGCATCTCTCTGCAGCACTGTCACTGTCATGGGATGACACGTGGCTTTACCAGCACAGTCCTGAAGGCAAACCGCAACCAGAGCGCCGGCCAGCAGAGGAGGAAGTAGCCGATGATTTGGGCCGCTCAAGGCGCTCTGTTGCTGCCCTTCTGGGGGCCCAGGGCAGGAGCATCTGCTTATTGCGAGGGCGTTTTGAGAAAGTGAGACAAAGCAGGAAGACGCCTGGGAACGCTGCGCCAGAGCCCTCCCCCACCAGGACAGTGCGAGCCTCTCCCCAGCCGCCCTGTGGGGGCTCGGGCCTGTGATTCGACAGCCCTGGCAGTGGCAGGCCCTGCTGCCCTCCTGGGGCAGACACGGCCCCTGCTGGGTCGGGCAACCAGAGCAGCTCTCATGGCAGGGTTCCTGAGGGTGGGAGATGGGGTCTGTGCTGAACGGGGTGGCAGCCCGGGCCACGCGTGGCTCCTGAGCCCGAGACGCCAGGCGTCCTGCTGAGGAGCTGACTCCGAGTCTGATTTTAGTCAGCATGTGGCCACGTGTGGCTGCGACCCCCCGGTAAGCGCAGAGATGTCCCCTACTTCCTGACCTCTCGAACACTCACAAGGAAAGGATGCTGCCCGAGGACCCAAAGGTCCCTGGGGCAGGGAGACGAGGCCCAGCCATCAGCTCCCCACTCTCACCGGCTCCCACCCAGGCCCACCCACCCCAGGGCGGAGCAGGGCAGCCTATGTCCTCCCGGGCGTCCCGGGCCTGAGGCCCCACTTGCTGGGACTAGCACTGCGTCCTGCTCCCCCAGGAGGCCCTACCAGGTGCTGGGGCTCTCAGCTCTGGGGACACGTGACAGCGGAAGCCCCAAATCCCAGGATTTCAGGCTGAAGGAGTCAGGCACCTCCCGAGTGGACAAGCCCGCCTCCACACTCAGGATGCTGGGAGCAGCCCCACGGGCGAAGAGCAACACACTGGGCAGGGAGGTAGCCCTGCTCTTCACAGAGCTTCCCAGGAGGGCCTGCGGTGGGCCCGGGCGTGACTTCAGCTACACGGACAAGGCAGCTCTGCCAGGACCGCGGGGGAGGCACGTTCCAGGTGGGGACGGCAGTGCCGGCAACACAGTGGGGCAGCTCCAGTGCCATGATGGCGCGTGGAGCCGATACAGGAGAGGAGGATGGGAGTCAGAACATCCTCACCCCTGACCATGAGCCAGAGGGCAAAGCTGAGGGTCACCCCGGAGCCAGCTGCAAGGGCAGCACAGCTGAGCACTCCCACCACTGGTGCACACTTCCCACGTAACTGTGCCCAGCGGCTTCTCCCAGAGGCCTGGTCTCACCGGATAGTGTCAGCAAGGTACAGCAGGCCTCCCCCCGTGTGCCTGGCCCCCAGCCAAACCTGGGTACAGTGTTAGGCAAGAAACACAAAAAAGGAGTAGCGGCCCTCCCCGCCACCAGCAGACCACCAGCAGATCACGGGGTCGGGCTCCCGTCCTTTCGCTAAGGGGAAAGAACGCCAGCCCGCTGCCTCAGCCGCATGGCGCACGGCCTCGGCTCAGGGAGACCCCTCAGTTTGGGGACTCGAGACCAACTTACCGCAGCCTTTCCCTTACCTCCCTGCAGATCTCCTCCGGGGTTCAGAGGACAATCGCCGGGCCGGCACACACAGGGGAGACGCCAGAGCCCTGGGCATGGTCTTGGGTGTTGTCAGCGCCAGGCCAGAGAGGCGGCGGCTGGCAGGAGTGGGCAGGGCTGACAGACGTCGCGTGCTCACTGGCGTCCTCAGCAGGCTCTGTGACCGCCTGGCAGGAGTGCTGTGGCCCATAGCCCTGGAACAGGCAAACTGGAGTCAACAGAGAGGGCCTAAGGGGCAGCAGGGGGCACGGGAGTAAAGACAGCTGGGCCCCACAGGGCTGACTGCGTGGTTTGAGTCCCACACCCAACGACTTGAAAATCACACTAGGGGCATGTGCATGCATACCCAAAACCCGAGAGAAGAGATTGCAGCGTGGCCATCCTGCCGGGGGCGGGGGGTGATTTCTCACTTTCCTTCTTACTGTCTGTCTCTCCGACAATTGCACATGCCCTATTGCAAAAACTAAAAACAGAAAAGGCAGAGACGACCTAGAGGAACGAAGTCTGCCTCCAGCCAGTGCACAGACGCCAGGAGCCAGCCTGTGTGAGCGCAGCTCCTGGAGGAGGGGCCTGGCGGGGGCGGGGCTGCTGCCTATGGAGAACCCTGGTGTGGGCTTCCTGTCCCTGGGCCAAGCCCCACCCTCTCGTCACAGCCGTCTAAGTGACAATCAGTGTGACTGCACTTGACAGGGGCGATACCATGGAAACACACCTCTCAGGGAGTTCAAAGAGTCCGTAGAAGCCACCTAATGGTTTTATAAAGATTCCCAAAGGAGGTCGGGACCCACAGCTTGGCCTGGCTGGCCAACAAGCAGCGAGCAGGCCTCACTGCAGGCTGCCCTTCCCAGGCCGATGGCACCTGAAGCAGGCGCACCCGCGAGCAGCAGCTCCGGGACTGGGGCTGGCTTTGCACGCCGCACCAGGGCTCCTGCTCCGGCTCCAGCTGCATTGCTAACTCTAGTTCTGCTGTGCTGAGAAGGCTGCCAGGCCAGGCCCACTGCCGCCTGCTCCAGTCAGGGTGTCTGTGTTCTCCACCTTCGCAGCTGAACCCCAGAACCCAAGGTGAAGGTGTGAGGAGACGGGGCCTTTGGGGAGCAAGTGGGGCCCCGTGAGGGGATCATGCCTTTGGCGAGAGGTGCTGGGAGCTCGTCCACCCCTCCCCAGGACACAGCGAGGATGAGGGGCCTCCCCAGATGCCAGGTCTGCTGTGCCGGGACTCCACACCTCCAGAACCGTGAGAAATAAACACCTGCTATTTCAGCCACCCGTAGGCACTCGTTTGGGGAGAGTGGCCCAAAAAGACCAGGGTGTGACTCAAAAGTAAATTAGATCAAGGACACATGACCGACATGGAGCCTGCACAGTCCGGGGATGACACACCCGTCTAGTGCTCACGTCCACCGAGGACAGCTCTCGTGTGGTTCGATCAGGCTGGAAAGGAACTACCTCCTGTTACCAAGAACGGCCACCCGCCCGCGCAGCACCTGTGGGAGACAGGGCACCTCCAGCCCGCGGCTCTGCTGTCGCCTCCTGCTGCCCCTGCTGCAGGGCTCAGGCCGCCCCCCACAGACACCAGGACCCTCCGAGTAACCTGGGAGGGGGATCTGCTCTCTCATTTCCCAGGTAGGGACCACGGCAGACACGTGAGGCGGCGGTGCTGTCTGATCTGGGATCTGCCCTCACCTCCCAGGGGCAGGCACTGGCTCTCAGCCTGACCACAGTGGGGCATCGTCTGCTCTGAGTTCACACAGGAGGAAACTGAAGCCCAGAGCCATGGACGGATCCCCAGGTGGCTCGAGGCTGGTCAGAGGCAGAACCAGGAGCAGGGCCTCTCTCTGGTGTCCCAGCATGGTACTTATTCTTCCACTTACTACGGCAAGGTCCAAAGCAGAGCCCCTGCTCTGGCCAGATACCCTGGAAATGCCAACTCCGTGGGTAGGAGGGTCCCTACTCTCTTCCCCACCCCCTGGGACAGGGCTAAACAGCACTGATGCCAGAGGACTGGGAGCTGTGCGGCCTGACCTCGGCAGGTGCAGTAAGGGATGGCAACAGGAAGATGGGCGGGACGGGGTCTGCGGGTGGGAGCGGCCAGAACCCACCATGCTGTGCGTGTGGGTGAGTGCGCATGTACTTTCCTCCTGGTGGGTCCTGCAGGCAGAGCGTGCTCGGTCAGGCTTACTATCCCCACGAGCCATGAAGAAGCAAGGTCAGGCCTCAGGGCCTACAGGGGCTTGCAGGAGCTGGGCTGCGAGCCCACGTCTGATGACTGCACCAGCCGGGGCCTTCAGTGGCAGCACAAGTTACAGTCGCCCCAGGAGCTGCTAGAAACTCAGACTCTGGCCCCACCCAGCCCATGGAATCTGGACCTCTTGGGTGGGTCTGAGTGGGGGCTTTCATCACAGCACAGAAGGGGCTCCTGCTGCACGGCCTGGTGTGACAACCAGCCCAGCCCACACTGACAGTCGTGGCTCTACCCTGTGCAGGAGTCTGGGGACACAGAGTCTATAGCAGGTACAAAAGAGGGCCATCTGCACCCAGACACTGTTGCCAAAGGCAGACACACAGGCTAGGTGGGGCCGCCCCTGCTGGAGGAGGCTCTTCAGGAAGTCTGCAGATGTGTCGGGTGTTATTAACTCTGCCAGAGGGTGAGTGCACTTTCGGGGGAGAGGGAGAGACCACCCACATGGAGAAAGGTCACAGCAGTCCCTTCTCCAACATCTTTCCCTCATTTCAGGATTTGGGCATACACACACTCATACCCGTAGTGTTTTTTAAGCCACCAGGACTTGAACTGCGCAGTCAGCTATGTGGGGTCCAGCTGCTTTAACCAGCAGCCCCATCGGCCCCACGCTGGCCAGTCTCGTGGTGGTACGGAGAAAGGGAGCAGGCCAACATCACTTACTGCCCATAGGAGCTGCAGGACTGCAGCCTCTGCGCCCGCGAGCACCTTGGGGTTGCGCTGTCTGGGGGTTCACCTGAGAGCGAGAGAAGTATGTACAGTCAGTTGACCTGGACCACATGGAGTTCAGCCTTGGGAGTCTTAAGCAAACAGGCAATGCCCCTCCCAACACCCCCCTTTCCCAACCCACGGTGCCGACAGTGCTCACAGTACAGCTGAGGGCAGACAAGTCGCCAGGGAGACCGGCCAGAGGGGGAACACGAGACCGCTAGTCCCTACGTGGGGACCCTGGCTGAGGCGAGGGCTTTGTTCTGGCTTCTGGGTGCAGGAGAGAGGGCTCTTTCCTCCTGTGCCCTCACCATGCCGCTGTGTCTGAGCAGGGGTAACGCGACCTTCACAGGAGGCCGACAGCGACCTGAGCTGCTAGACATGAACAGGGCCGTGGTGTGGCCAGAGCCAGCAAATCCAGAAAGGCTCATGCGCACCATTGTTTCCCTGGCGACGGCATCGCCAGGACAATGACACAGGATGTCATTTAGGAGTTACTTAGCTGACAGAGCACCCCAACACGGACAATCTCAACTGAAATTCTCATAGTGACGAGGACCAGGCTAAGGGCCAGGGATTTGCCAGGTCCCACTGACATAGGCCCCAGGAGCCCAGTCTCACCACGGTCTCCCCCTCCACACTGGTCCGATGCGGACTGGCTCACCAAGAAGCAGGTCCTAGGACCAGCTGGAGTCAGCCATTTGCACCAGGATCCTATGCAACATCCTGGCATCTCAGAGGCTATGGGCCAGGAGGCTGTCCCGGCAGTCCCTGAGCCCCACCAGCGGAAGCCAAGGTGGGGCCTGGGGCTGAGACCTCCTCTCAGCAGATGCCCAGGCCAGGCAGGGCCCAGGCCGCACCTCCTATAGGCATCTCCTGTCCTCCAACTGGCTGTTCTGCTGGGTCCCTCACACCTGAGACCGACCTATGCCTGCCCCCACCCTCCCAGCTCGACCTGGGTCCCTGCTGCTCTTCAAAGCCAAACGCCACTGCTCTGGCCCACCCCTGTTCTACCACAGTGCCCGTGCGGTTTCCAAAGTGATGACAAAAACCTCGCGAGACAAACAGGTCTCCTGTCATCCCACCCCTACTTGCAACAAATTCAGTTGTTTCTCTTTCTTTCCTTTTAAAATTTATGTCTTCCCTTAGAGAAGAAGCACGGAGTGGGGCACCGCAGCGGGATGTTCGCCCAGCCTTCCACCCCCAGCCTCAGCCGGCCAGGACCGTGGCACTCACGTGCACAGGTGCATGGGAGACTGGGGCCGAGTGGGCCCTCCCGCGCAGCCCCAGCCCGGTGGAGCAGGCCTTCGCTGCTGTGCCACTGCCATGCCCATCTTGTTTCCTGTGGTTTCTGCCACCACATTTCTGAGTCGTGTAACATGTGCCGACATGAAACTCATTCAAAACTCCTGAAAACTGCCTTAAAAACAAAGGCAACAAAGGGCCGACAGGTGGCATGGTGGTTAAGGGCGCTGGACTCCCACATGGCCAACCATGGTTCGAGTCCCAGACCTGGTGGCTTGCTTTCTCTCTCTCTTTCAAGGTGTGTGTGTCTCTCTCTCACTCTGTCCCTCTCTGGTCAAATTAAAATAAAAAAATAAAGCTAAATAAAATAATTCTTAAAAAAAAAAAAAAAGGGCAAAAAAAACTAGACATTCAAAAATGTAAAACTGATCGTAACCAACAGCCCCCAAAGTGGCTTCAGAGAAGCAGGAAGACGGGGCCACAGCTAGCAACACACTAGTCAGCAGAAACAGACCCCAGATGAGAGAAGACAGAATTAGAAGAAACAGACTTTGGGCCAACAAGTGGCATGGAGGTTAAGGCAGGTGGATCACAAACAGCCAACTGTGTAGTTCGAGACCTCGACCCAGCAGCTTAAAAAACACGCCAGGTGCATCCCAAAATCCTGAGAGAATGGAGGAGAAGGGACCGTGGTATGGCCAAGCCCCTCTGGGAGGTACTTTCCCACTTTCCTCCTCTGTCTCTCTTTGGCAGGTACATGCACCATATAGCAAATTTTAAAAATTAAGAAAAGGCCAGCAGATAGTATGGTGGGTGGGGCAGTGGCTGCTCACGTGGCCAACTACAATTTAAGCCCCATGGTTCAAGTCCCAAACGTGGTGGCTTGAAAATCGCACTGGGGAACGACAGGTGGTGTGGTGGTCAAGGCTCTGAGGCCCACATGGCCACCCACACTTCAGGTCCAGGGCCTGGCAGCTTGAGAACCACGCTGGGCATGTGTGTGCATGTGTGCCCAGAATCCTGAGGGGAGGATGGAGGAGAGGAGACTGGTGTGGCCCTCTCTCCTGGGGGGTGGTTTCTCACTTTCCTCCCTCCAGCGAGTGAACACACCCTATGAAAAAAACCTGAAAAAAAAATTTTGTTTTAATTTGTAAAAATCACACCAGGTGCATGTGTGTGTGTGTCCAAAATCCCAGAAGGAGAAGGGACTGCGGCCAGCCATCTCCCTGGGGGCTGGTTTCTCTTCCCCTCTTACTGTCTCTTTCTCAAGGGAGTGCACCCACCCTACAGCAAAAACCTTAAAATGTCCTGGAGGCAGAAAGATTTGTTTGAATTAACAACAAAAATAAAAACACAGGCTTTAAGAGGATGAGTATAAAGACGGTCAAGGGCTTGAAGAAAATGTAAGTACCATGTAGAGAAGAACAAGGGCACCATAAGGTCACAGGCCGACAGCCCTGGACGGGCTCCGCCGAGATCCGACGCACACACCGAACAGACTGTCTGAACTGAAGCACGAGACACACCGAGAGGAGAGCAGATGTCAGAGCCCAGGAGACTGCGCCCAGGGTCTGGCACCTGTGTGCCGAGTCCCAGGAAGAGAGGAAACAGCGGAAAACTGCCAGCTGGCTTTTCCACGTTTGACCAAAGCAGCGACCCACAGGTCACAGATGCTCGAGTGGCAGCTCCGCGGTGCAGTGGTAACGTGCCGCTCAACGGAAGCGCGTAGCCCTGGCGACCGCAGTCCGAGCGTCCAGTCTGGGCAGTCTGAAACTGCGGGACACACGTGCCAATGCTCAGGGTCTGGCGGGCTGGAGCACTGAAGGAAGCGGATCACAGCAAGACCAGACCCTGTGAAGGTGTTCATCCCTCTCCCGCCCCAACCTTCACACACAGGTTCTATCAGAAATAAAGAAAACCAATTATTTTTCTTAAAGGGTCAAGAAATCTCAAGCAGAATAAAAATAAAACAGAGACACCCCTCTGCCAATCCCAATGGAGAGAAACCTGAAAGCAGCTGAGAGCAATCCATATCCCCTGGGGGAACCAACTTTGCAAAGCAAGAGCCTCGGGCGGCTGCTCGTCCCAGACAGTGCGAGTGAGCGAGGAGATGGGACCCCTTCCCAGGGCCACCCGTGGAAAGGAAGCAGAAGGGTCCCCACTGCCACAACCCGTGCCTCTCAAACTCTAGCTAGAATGCTTTCAAAATCCTCAAAACACTAGACGCACCCATCACTTACCAGTTGAAACCTTGGGGACTTTAAATTGATTTGTGGGAGTAGGAACAGCCTTTGCCTTGGAATTTAGGCAGGAATCTTGCCTTCTTATACTTCCAGCTTTACTTGGCTGCGAAGACTGTGACGAAACAGAATCAGGGTCCAGCCTCGAGCCTCCACCTCCCGGAGTCTGGGGCTGGGGGAGAGAAGCTGTGGCGTGGGCCTCAGGCTGCGCCTCGCGCTGCTCCGTGGCCCACCAAGTGGCGGTGCCCTTGGCGGGCCTGCTGGATGCACCTGCAGGACCTGCCGGCTCAGACCGCTGGGCCAGGGCAAAGCCCATCCTGCCTGACTTGCTGGGGTTTGACAGA